TAAGGTAACAATAAACAAAACATAGGCAATAGATAAACATGACAAACTTCTGAGGGGTATTTTAATGCTTTTCAAGTGAGTGAAGTTTAGTAAGAAGCCTTCGAGGAATAAAGCCGTTGGAGAGCTCAGATAATTTTCTAAAAATAGTTACGATTACCTTAATCTTGACAAAACAACCCGGAAACTTGACCTTGTCCTAGGTTATTTGAATCTTTTTAAGTGTGCTAAGTTTTTATGAGAATCCTTAAGATTATAATCCCTTATATGATCATCCTTTAATGGATAAAGTGCTGACAACTTTGTCACAGACGGACGGTCGCAAAGGGGAAAAATGGGGGAGGGGTGCTAATATATAAGGTAAGTGCATTCTTTTTGGAGTAATCCTTTTATCTTCCATGAATCAGTTTATGTACGAAAGATCAGAGGTATGAAGCAATGATGATGTCATGTTGACATAGTTCCCAACTGCCACTTTTCAACATTTAGTTGTTGTACATGTGTCAACATATCAATAGAACTACAGGTTTGTTTTTCACATCATATAAGTTAAATGTAAGGGCAACAAATAAGACATATAAGACTAAACGTTGGCATTGAATAGTAACTTTATACAGTGATGTTACAGAGAATACTGTATATTAACTAGACACGGCCAAGAAGGACTGGTTACTTTTTGGCAGTGCAATTTGACCGTTTACAGCATCGTTCTTGATTAAGGTGATATAGTGTTGTGTGATTCAAAATGGTCAGAATTTTGTTTGTCGTCTTTGCCTTACGCGAGGCAAGAGCGATGATAAGCCTTATTTTGGCACTAAATAAAAGGGGATCAGAGACGATACACAGATGAAGAGACGCTAATCAACTTTCTTGGTAATTTCATGAACTTTTCATTTAAATTGGACAATATCGTTCGTTTTCCCTAGACCATGTTGGGGCTTTATGGTGGCAATTCCAGAGGCTGATCGTTGTTTGCCTTGACTCTGGCAGCATGCGGTCGACCATTGTCTTGCTGGAAAATTATATTATGACGTCTGAGAAGTGAAAGGACATGTGATTGGAGGATCTGATCTCTGTATTGAACAGCATTGATATTTGGATCCATGACCATTAAGGAGGATTTTACTTTATGGGAGATGCCAACCCAAACCATAACAGAAGCCCCACTGAATCTATCTCGTTCAACCACGTAGCGTGGCGGTATGGCTTTGACCATCCTTCAACATCGCAACTGCTCTACTCCTCTGAATTTGCGTCAAGCGTGGCATCTCGGTCAATGGCGAAATCAAAATTCCAACGTGGAAAATAAATGGGGCTTGAATATCCGTTTAAATTATTCGTTTGAAAAAATCCGGCTTGGCTAGATCACACCGCGTGATTTGGATCGAAATAGGGAGATAATTCTTGATGTTATACCTGACCAAATATTCCATTATTTTCTTACAGCTAATGTGTGCTGCAGGGGGAACTTTGTGCGTTTCTTTTCTTTTTGTTGAGTATATGTCAAATGGGAGTATGATAATAACTTATTATAGGAATATATATATATATATATATTGTATAATGCATAGGAAGAAAATTGATAGATTGAAACATAATCGTACTCATATTCATGATAGTAATGTGAAATGCCTTTATTTATGAGATTCTTTAATGTCGTGGTTTCACGATATTGCTTTTCGGCTGGCATTTGTACTCACCACCCCGCCCCGAAATTCACCGACAATTAATGTTAGTGTTAATTGTTGTTCATTTCGTAGACAAGTAAATCCGTGTATTAACAATACCTACCCAACCTTCTCGAGTTTACAGTATATAACACAGTTTAGTGGTTATGCTCCTTCATTAGTCCCAACCACATTCCTGACATGTATTTCCAATGTACCTACATCTATAATTGTATTGAAGCTTGCTTCTTTGAGAGATTGTGGTTGACACTACTGTTAAACTCATAGTCCCCGAGATTTCCCAAGACTTGTATGCCAAGTTCACATTCATCCCAATAGTTGCACGATCCCGAGTATACACACATGTATTCGCCGTTAATTTGAAATCTCATTCAATATTCTTCAATATTCATTGACGAATCCTAGAAGGACGAAACATATGTATGATGCTGTTCTGTTCATTATTTGGTTCTATTGAATATAAACTCTAAAGAATTGAAAGATGTGTGCTATTAAATCTTTCTGTATAAATCTGGTGATCACTTAAACGGAAATGTGTTTTTATATCATCAAGATGGCTGTTATAAATCTTAAATGATTCATTGCGATGCTAATTTACATATAAAAAGATGTTTTTGTTTTACCACTATATCGTGTCTTGTATGGTCATCTATTCATCAGTTCACAGACAAATATCCCCCAATATTGGACTTATACATGAAATCCTGACTTCTAAAAGCAGTTATCCGGAAAAGGCTCAACATTTTCCGATGGTAAAACTAAAACGTTACAATTATCATTCTGACTGAATTTTAGCAATATTTCCGTTTGTAGATCTATATATAGGAATTCTATTTACAACGGAAGTGTAAATGTTTTCTTTCAGATAGTAGATATAAATTACCAACAGCCTTAGTTTACATATGTATGGTTAAATATTGACTTTCACATTATCGGACATGACATGATCCTATTGAAGCCTTGACTGTATCGGACTGAAGACACTACACAACCGGACACGCTTTAATGTAGATATATAAAGCTCATTACATACACTCAGAGGCATGCGTTAGTTCCGGGTTAGTTCGCTGTAATGTCATCCCTGATCGACAGAACTGGATTTCACTGTCTCTGTGTCCATGTGAGATAGCTTTCATGTACAGAGGCTGGCAATTGTTACAACCACTGTAGTGATAAAATGCGCAGGATGGTATTCTGAGCAATCCCAATAACACATCAGTGTTTATATATCCATGTGTTTCATTCTCAGTAAAAGTGCATTTCAAAACGTTCGCTTATTACTGCTCATTTAACCTATCAACACTTTATTTAAAGAGTTTATTAATTTGAGTTTGGATTATATTCACACGTTAGTTTGTTAAACATCTATCTTGGTGACGATTGCGGCCTTGTTACAATCCAGTAAGGAAGGGAAAGGAAATGCATAAACACTTATAAACTGACTATGTGGTCACCGTTAGATACGTGTCTAACACACTTATTTTGCACAAAAATTACCTTTTAATGAATAGTAATTCTGCTCTATATATATCAAAGTTTAAACAGTTTCTAAATCTTATCAAAATCGGGGTAGATGTACTAATGTTGACCAGAATAAACTTTCTGCTCGAAGAAAAATTTCATTTATTTTTAATATAGTTTTTTTTTGGCATTTGCTTCCCCCAAATCTGTCTTTCTTTACAGTTTAAAAATAGTTTGTGGCATTATATTGAAAACTGATTCAGACATATTTTATAGAATTTACAGAAACAACAAACAAAATCAAGGAAATACAAACGTGTGTATATAATCATAATCCAAACACAAATTCAATAAAACTAGGACAAAATATGTAAAAAGAAATATTTTCACGGAGACTCGAGCAAATGTACAAGGAAAATTAGACCTGATTACGTTTCCAAAGGTATGTAATATTACTATGTTATCACATACTGCCTACGGACGGTTACTTAAAGTTCTTAGCTGTTCATTTTATATCGTGCTGATTTTTTTTTTTTTAAATTCTCATTCATTTTAATTACCTAATTACCTCCTTATTGGTTCACATTCTATACCTTCCGTGCATGATAGTAACAAAGGTTTTATACCATTATCTCGTGGAATCCTCTTATACCGGTGTCCAATAAGAATGTGGAGATTAGTTGTGCGTAAGAACACATTAGCTTCAAATCATTTATTCGATTAATTAAATTCATGACGTAGATTAGAAGTATTCATCAAGAAATATTTTTTATGATATATGTCCTTGACATGTAAGATTGAAAATGTTCTAATTATCCCCTACAAAATGCATTTTCCGGGGGATGTCAAAATAAGCTCAATCACTCCGCACAAGGGGATTATTCAGGTTACAACTTGAAAACTGATCACGACGAAACATTCTATGCATACTGGACTAGTGCCCTAGTTTTGCGTGTCGTTATTGGTGTGATCATATTCTCTTTCTCTTTCTGTTTTCTTGCACAAAACGTAAAAAAAGTATGATATTTACTGTCCAAACTGTTTTCCAGCTCGAGAAATGTTACTGACCTCTTCACGCTTTAAACATAAACAAAACCATCTTTTCTTACCGATGTTGTGGTGCAAACTCTAGAGGAACTAAAGCATACTATGTGAACGAATTTGTTGAAATAAGAGAGAGAGAGAGAGAGAGAGAGAGAGAGAGAGAGAGAGAGAGAGAGAGAGAGAGAGAGAGAGAGAGAGAATTGGCACATGCACTTTTACATTAAAGTGAGATATTTTATGTATGAATTTTGCAGTAGTTTTTTATCTTCAAAAAGAGCGTAAAGTACATGGTGATTATTATTTCTGAACCGTGTCACTACTCCAATAAATCAAAACTCAGGTTAAGGTGAATATATCGATCCTTGTTTTTATTGATGGTATATGGAGGTGCACAAAATGTGAATATATCAATGGTGTTAATATTTTTAATCCAATATTTTGGAACTTTTAAGTGTCGCTTTGGGCAAGAGGTTCATTGGAAATGGAATAAATATGGATGAACAGATGTGGTTAATCAAAGTGCTCATTATTATACAGACAATTATCTTTTCAGTGATGTAATGTATATTACTACGTGAAATATATCTACAGTTATTCAAGAAGGTCTGAAAAACTATTCGCCTCCCAATGTTACCATGACAGCCAGTGTTGGTTGCCAATGACAAAGGTTTCAGTTGACATTGTGTGGCAAACATTCTGTATATTCGATCGTCCATGCTGAGAGCACTACTGCTTGATTTCGCAGTTTATAGATTGTTATTTTCTTCTTTTACAGGCGATGTGTACAGGACCATGAGAACTATGAAGGTCCAGACATCCCTCTTCTCCACATCCCCGATACAGACCCATGTCTACTACGTCAATCTTAGTAAGTCGTGACAAAATATTTCACGAAAAAATCCCCAGTCATCTCTCTGACTTTTTCTCGAGGATAATGAATTCAAATGTTCACTACAAAATCTTAACTTACTGGAATGCTGTACTTGACATTGTTATTAAAATGTCCGATATATGAAAGTTACGAGATTTATTGAATCATGGAATTGTACATTTTTTTAATCACTTTTGATTTTTCCAAAGTCGCTTACTAGGTTTCCAAATTTAGACCCTTAGAATCATTATAGAGTTCTGCAGACGATACAGCTGCATGGTTCTTCACATATGTGTCTTTTGTAGAATCATTAAATGTAATAAGTGATAATCTGGACTAAATTTCCGTCTTAAAGAAAAAACATTTTCACTTTTAAGACCAGAAGATATTAATACTCAGAACTTACAAGTCAAATTAACTGGAACTTGATCTTAATGTCATCTATGTTTTTGCAATTATTGTTATGTGAATGCCAATGAATTATATCGTATCAACAGATATTTATTGCCTGAATGAATACGAATGATTGGTTTAGCGATCTAGCGTTCTCTACAGTATGATTTTAGGGTGTAAACATTTTCGTTGGCAACGAGCGTAATTGAAACTAACAAAACTAACTTTTTTTTCGATCTTCCAAATGAATTGTACTCAACCATTTTCTACGCCGTCGTAAACACCGATATACCATTCCACCGAGACAAGGAAATCTATGTATAGCTTCCTCTTGTCATAATGTTGGATATTTTCCTTCAGTAGGAAAGGATTCTGGCATGTTTACATACTATATATATGTGTTGGTCTAAAATATGTAACCATCAGTGTGCCAAGTGTAGGCTGACGCATGCTGTAGGCACACAAAAAGGACGATGATGGGTAGCTCTCAATAACAAGCATCCTGTTTCGGTTCTAATATTCAACGGGCTTACTTCCTCACTCCCATTTCTATTGAAAACTCCTTGTGAATAAGCGTGTGTTTCAATGGAAAGTCTAGCAATATCTATAACGGGAGAGGTGTACCGAATGTATATAAATGTAACAACAGATGGCGCCACTACGAACTATTGAAATCGATTGATTTGTATCTGATGCAGACGACAACACATGGGTTTCTTGGCACTGTTTTTGTCTCTGTCTTTATTCGAATTGGAATAACTGACAAGGACAGACTGGTTTGTGTCTGCTCAATGAAAGGGACAAGAGTCTCCTTCTTTGTCTCTTAAGTCTTTTGGGACAGGTGTGCGACACGAATCATTTAAGAAAGGTAAGTTTCTTTCTTAGTAAAATAATTATCTCCTAAATTTCAGTAATATCTTGATAATATTTTACAATTAAACGATTTCAGATAAAAGTAAGATATGTTTAGTAAAAAACAATTAAAATAAACACATATTCATTCAACTGATAACTCCAATGTCATTAAAACAAAGTTATTGGCAAGCACGTTAATTGAAAGTTTTCTAAAGTATTGGTTTAAATATTTTTTTCTCAAAACCATAAGCTACTTTGAGATATTTCCAGTAATAAAACATTCCAAGTTCAACAATCGGTACACTTTATTTGTTAATTTGATATTGGTTGTTCATTCAAGTTTACTTCAAGTTGACTTAATTTTGAGACTAACAATACCTTGAGATTATTGATATCTAAAAAAACCATGCGTCACAAAATAATCACATTCTCCACCATTCTATTTATTGTATGTTTACAAACAATTAAAATAGTTGCACGAGTTTAATAAAAAAAATACGAAACTATGTCTCCTGTTTACTCATGAACGTGGATGCTGTGTTTGACGTAACAGCACAAAGTTGATCTATTTTTATTCTGTAAGAGTGTATTAGGTGGCCTATAGTTGTATTAAGTGCAACAGTAGGAGGCCTCAAGTGTGTAAACAGTCGTTACAAGATTGATTGAAATGTAAACAATTATTGACTTGAGGGCAGGCGTAATCTCATAATTCGATAGATTTACATTAGCAGTATAGAGACGAGATGTATTATGGTACGGTGTAGTTAAATCAACAAGCGGGTGAATAACATTCATTTATATCCATGACAAAGAAAATATAATAAGAGTCTACTGATAGTAGGTTGGTCTAAATAATAAAATGATACAACAGGGTGTCGGAAAATTGATTCATCAACACTGATGTTCGGACGAATTACTGCGTGTTTTAGATAAGGTGTCTATCATAACTATCAATGAATGGATCGCTTTTATTAATCTAAACATGTTATCTGCTTAACCAAGGGATTTGTATACCTTTGATCTACCCATTTGCATATGTCTACAAAATGTGTACAGAGTTATTATGAGAAGCTGAATGTCAACGTTTACTACAGACTTCAAAGTGTAAACTATTTTGCCGATGTACCATGAGTAATGTGGAATTCTTTTGTGAAGAAACAGTTTTCCTTCACTTTAATGCCAATAGATTCACTCAGTAAATATTGTGTTTTTTCTCTTGGTAAACAAAATATCATTATATTGAGTTAGAGTTGATGAATATCCCATTACTAGATAACAACTTTGTTGCTTCCAAAAGTCAAAGGTAGTTTCATGTTACAGTAGATTTGATATCCTATGGTTCGTCATGATTTTCTTCTTCCGCGGTAAATAGAAAAACGAGATGAAATGTTATGGACACTACCTGAATTTCACAGTCTCGTTGAAAAAGATATTTTCTGCAAGCAAGCCTGGAAGATTCGTTGTCCTTTCTCGTTGTCGTTTGAAGAATGTGGCATCATTTTGATGACTTATTTCTTCCACGTTTACATCGTGTCTTGCTGTAATCGCGTTTAAATGTTTTTACACACCCGTAACAGTTTAACGCATCGAAATAAACCGTATTCGAATTAAGCTAGAGTTTTTTCTTTCCTCTTTAACGTTAAATTTAATGTAACTATGCAGGAGAAGCAGAAATAAATTGCAAAAAAGATGGTATAGGTTTTATATCTGGTTCAATTTGGAGCCTGATCACAACCATAACGATCCTTCAGGGATGATCGAGACAGTCCTCTGTGATTTTGCAGTTCAAAAAGCTATCCTGTTAAGAATGCTGATATTTAACGAATACCGGAATCTCAAACCAGACAATTCTAGACACCACAATTAAAAACTTATCGAAATGGTAATATAGAAATCAACCATTGAATTTCTCTCAGCAAACGTTGACCATCACGAACATGTGATATGGTCGTGCAAATACAGAATAAAGGCAGTTTTTGACGTCATGATTGCATTATGACGTCAGTAGAATTTCCTGATAGCTTACACTACTACTGAGCACCAGTTTTGGCAAATACAAATATCTACACTTCAATGTCCAAGCTGGACTTCCGAAACTGGTGTTTAATACGATAGAAAAAAAAATTTGAAAGATATTGGAGAGGAAATATTCAACATCTCCTATCAGTTGTAAAATAGTTTAAGTTAAGAAATTTACCACTGACAGCAAAAGGGATAACGTTTTTGCACTTAACTCTAGATAAGGACATTATGTGTAGCCGGACTGAGAGAGGTGTGTACAACAAAAGACATTGCGAAACATAAGTTGACGAGGAAGAAATTAGTGCCGTTTTCCAATGACTTCATTTCTTTTGTTTATGATTTGTGTCAGTTAACATAAATTATGTCATAAAAAATGTTTTAATACAAAATATTTTCATACACAATAAAATGGTTGGGGCAAAGTTTTCGTCGATCTTAGTAATATTGACATTCTAGAATTTCAAAGCGGTTTAATACTTTCAACACATCTGAAGTTAACAATAAATGACTAAAATGCATGTATCATTTGAATTGTCATATATCTCTTGATATAGGCATATAATTCTAACAATGTTTCAACAATAAGGATAACAAGTTGTTTAGGTTTTAACGGAGGAATGGGCTATTGACGGGCGCTTTTTCAGTGTCAAAACGTTACAATTTTACCGTAGCATAACACGCCACCCAATCACACGATACTGGCATAATATTGCATGGACAATATGATATCACATCAATCCACTAGGAAAAAGTTAAATATAAAGTAATATTACCAATGTAACATTTTGTCTTAAAGAAATTTTTATGAACGAGAAGGAAATTAGACGTAAGATGTCGGCAGGTGACAGACATCTCATAGCAGTGGATTTCAATATATGCAGATTGATGGAAATTACAGTTTTGCGGTCGTCATTAGAAATTTTTTTATTTGATGCTCTTTAGTTTGCCTGCTGTATACCTTGTTCGTATTTGAGAACGTGACATTCCTGGGATTGACAAAGATTTTACATAGCGGGTTACCGCCGATAAAGCAGAAGACGCTTGCTAATCCGGAACACCTGGTTTTATACCCATTGTATCTTTTCAGTATTCTCCTTGTAAATCTTTCTTCGATCATATTTTGCCCCAGTTTTATTAAAACTTGATTCTGGATTGTGATAATATTCACATGCTGGTCTTTTCTTGTTGTGTATTGGTAAGGGTTTACATTATCCGCTAAACAATTTATTTTATTGTTGTCATTGAGGCATAGGCTTGAACAATTAAGAAATCGCTATTAAAGTATTTGATGAGGCATTTGTAAAATCAGGGACACGGACTTTTTATTATAGTATTCAAAATAAATGCTTTTAAGCATAGGCAATATGTACTGGTCGCCCTTCTAAAGCGCTCGTTTATTCACCTACCACCGATAAGCGTTTTGAATTGTACACGTCAAACAAAAAAGTAATTCCTTTACAATGTTTTCAGAATAAACCCACGTATTACATGAAACGAGGAAGAAGACGTTTATGAGAAATGTCGTAAGTCGTAAACTTTGGCGTGGAATTATTTTGGGGATATTTTATTGTCTGGAAATTGAGTTAGTGTTCCTAAAATATACTTAGGCCTGAGTGGGCTGTTCTTGCCACTATGTCTAACCTTTCGTAAAATGTTTAAGCACTGCCTTCGTGCTATGTGCGTATTTCATGGTTACAGCAGATTCTATATTGAGGAGACAGGTGCTA